CATAGCCGCTTTCGCGCATCGACTCGATGTTCACATAACTCGTATGCTGAGACTGATATATGCGTGAGGAAAACGGCCTCTTCCATTCCTTCTCGATCTCAGTGTGGAGATCAGGAAGGAAAGGAAGGCTCACTTGAGCTGGAGGTCTATGGTCAGAGAGATAACGTTCGTCGATGCGACGTCACCTCCCTGGCTCGTTTCCACGGTAATTCGAGCCTCGCCGTGGCCCGATCCATTACCTCTAACAGCTCATCATACGCAGGGCAGGTGGATTGGGAAAGCTCAGCCTCAGCTTCTTCACTCTCCACATCCATTTCCTGCTCTTGTTGGGCTGGGCCCAACTGAGCACTGGCCCCTGGATCAGATGATATCAGAGAGAGGATATCATCGTCCAGTGGCTGTCTCTCGCCCGACACCGATGCGCGGAAGAGGGGAACCCCCCCTTCAGCCTCATCAGCTAGGTCCACCTGAGATCCCCATGAGCTCATTCTCCTCCGTGCCTCAGCAGCAGCGGGTCCTGAACCGCGGGAAACCGATGGTTGTCCCTCTCCCCTCGAGAAGAGAGAGACAAATGAGAGCGGAGCTTCTTCAGAGAAAAGCTCTCACAGTGCACGCAGATTGCCCGCTCGAGGACATCGCGTGTGTGCTCCTCGCCCAAACAAACAACGCATAAATCGTGTGAATCATCGGGCGTCAGAAACCGCTGACACGGATGTACACACTTTCTAAATGCTTCGCTAGTGCTCGCCATAGTAGGAAAGGAAAAGCTCTTACTTTGCTTTTTGGAATGCACGCTTCAAACAGACCGGTCAGTGAAGACGAAGAAGGTGAATGATGTGCGCTACCGGCGCCTACTTTGTACTAGTCGCGGCGGTAGTGACGTCATGGCTGTCGCCGGCCAAACAAGTTGGTGTTTTTTCAATGTAGGCTTCAGACACGGGTCACGACGAGGCGTTCCCCCCCATAGCGACCCCTAGAGGACGCAGTTCGAAGTTCCACGAAAGGGAATTTAGATGAATGTGGTGAGAGGGATAGATAAGACATTTACAATTATAGATAGACTTTTACAGTAGATACTGAATATAGATGTATGATCATTGAATAGATGGATGGATGGACGGACTGATAGGGGGTAGATAAGACATTTGCATATATATACGTATAGATATATAGATGTATGGCTGGATAGAGGGATAGATGGACATCTTGCCTATTTTTATCAATCATATTTTCTTTGGGCCTGAAGCAAGTGGAGCGTGTGTATGTGTCGCCTGTCACATTAAATAAGCTCCCTGATTTGTCTTGGTAGTTGCAGACGCAGGTGCAGAAGAAAGAGGAAACACCTGAGGAACTTTCACTAAACCCCTGACTCACACTTCAGTCTCTCTCTCCCCCTCTCTCTCTCTCTCTTAGCACAGCTGGATTGAACAGAATGATCACTGGCTTGAGGAGGACCAGAATCTGCTAGCTCCGCACACCGCCAGAGAGAGTGGAGAGAGGGAGCGAGAGAGAGCGTGCGCTCAACTATCAGGTCATCCAGCTCGTAAAATCTGTTGTGTTCTGACAACGAGAACAGAGAGGAGCAAGAAGACTTCACTTAACAGACACAACACACTCTGCGCTTTCAGAAATGCACGGATTATGGAAACATTTCATTGTTACACCTTACATTTTCCATTTTTCAGGTTTTTTGGTGACAGTAAAAGAGTAGCAGGAAGACTTCAGGAGTGTTTTCAAAGAGGACAGAATGAAGCAAACCTCTGGACTCAATGGCTGGATCAAAGATGCTATGAAGAAAAGAAGGATACATGACCTCTAACCGAAATTGGGAGGTAACAAACTTTTGTCTTTGAGAGTCTAGCAGCGTAAATAAGGGACATTATGAACTTGCATGCCAACATTTCAAAACCTGTGCCTAAAAGCGTCTTCACCTCTTCGAACCTCATGCCCTTTGACCCTGACACCTGGACACCGAGTCCGGACATCATGCTGGGTAATGTGGTTCGTAACAGTTCGTTTGGCTGTAACAGAAGTTGGGCTGACACTGAAGCATCTCTCTTTCCCAATTTATCCATCAGCAGCACTTCCAGTGAAAAAACAGAACTGCTGTCATGGCAAAGGTGCAATGGCGAGATGAGCAAAGAGGAGTTAGTTCGGAAAAACTGGGCTGCGCTACTGATTTTGGTTGTGGTCATTATTACGGTTACCGGGAACATTTTAGTAATCATGGCTGTCAATCTGGAACGAAAACTGCAAAATGCCACCAATTACTTTCTCATGTCACTGGCAGTGGCAGATATGCTTCTGGGACTTCTGGTCATGCCTGTCTCCATGGTGACCATTGTGTATGGTGAGTCTGCTTCGATTTTGACAGCAGTAATTGATTATGTTGGCAGTGATGTTTGGATGTGAGCTTTCACTTACACTGTTGTTTCTGAATAACAGTAATGTGTGGTACGCTTGTAGGAATCTCAATGTCATAGGACATGGTGTGTGTATCTGTCAGGTTGCAGTAGTTTCCAACCAGTGCATCGAAACCATTATAAAGAGTTATTGCTATATGAGTTTCCACTGGAAAAGTTTGAAGCACAGATATAAGAATAAGGGGAAGATGGAATTTCCCCACCTTCTTCTTGAAAATAATGACTGGAACAGCGGTCTAAGTCGGACATGAATTTGATCAGATTGATCAACTTTGACCTCAGCAAGAAGCATAATTTGATATCATGTCAAAGATGGTGCATGGCAACTGATGAGCATGGCGCAACATTACGTTTATAATCTAATCTTATGGTATAAATATGTATATATTTTTTGCTTTTGGTCTGCTGTTTTTAAAGCGAATGTAAGCATTTCACATTTGTGACTTGTTTTTGTCATAATTAGAATAAAAAAACACATTACATTCTCGTAAAATCATGGCACCATCTTGTGGTATATTCTAGTGCTGGGCTGTATGACCAAAATTGTATATCACGGTATTTTTTCAAAATTATACCGGTTTCACGGTACATGACTGTATTTTTTTGTCGCTAGGTTTGTCAGTATGAATATTCTATGGCAAAAAGCCACTAAAAGGGTCTGAAAGTTGCTAAATCTAGTGCTAAAGTCACGCTCGTGTGTGTGTGTGTGAGACACAGGAGCTGATGGTAGGGGCGGTGGATATTTATGGCGGTCAATGTGGATGAGTTCTTCTGTGTCATCACGTTCTATTAGTTCTACAGCTTCAGTTTCAGAACTTTCACACTTAGTAACACATACAGCTGTTCCCTCACCACAGTGCAATAGTGAAAAGGGACCCCTTTCAAACAGTGTCGCGTTCCGAACATTGTTTAAGCGACATACACCAGTATTGTATGAATTAAAAATTCATATCATAACAAAAATAAACACCGGTATACCGCCCAGCACTAGTATATTCTGGTATACCCCATCCAATCACCAACAAAATCAACACGATTGGAGCAGTGAAGGTACGATGTCTAGGGATGATGTGCGAGACTAGTCGACTAAACGCTACTGTTGCTGCTAATACTAGTTGCTTACGTTTTATTATATATATATATATATATATGTATTATAATATTATTTATATATGTGACCCTGGACCACAAAACCAGCCATGAGGGTCAATTTTTTTAAATTGAGATTTATACAGCATCTGAAAGTTGAATAAATAAGCTTTCAATTGATGTATTTGTTAGGATAGGGCAATATCTCGCCAAGACACGACTATTTGACAATCTGGAATCTGAGTGTGAAAAAAAAAATAAGAGAATCACATTTAAAGTTGTCCAAATGAAGTCCTTAGCAATGCATATTACTAATCAAAAATTAAGTTTTGATATAGTTACGGTAGGAAATTTACAAAATATTTTCATGGAACATGATCTTTACTTAATATCCTAATGATTTTTGGCATAAAAGAAAAATTGATCATTTTGACCTATACAATGTATCGTTGGCTATTGCTACAAATATAGCCTACCTGTGTGACTTATGACTGGTTTTGTGGTCCAGGGTCATATATATATATATATATATATATATATATATATATTGTATATACAGTATGTATGTATATACACTGCCGTTCAAAAGTTTGGAATCAGTAAGATTTTTTATGTTTTTTTAATGGAGTCTCTTGTGCTCATCAAGGCTCTATTTATTTGATCAAAAATACAGAAAAAACTGTACTATTGTGAGACATTATTTCAATTTCTAATATTGGTTTTCTGTTTTAATATACTTTAAAATAGAATTTATTGCTGTGATGCAAAGCTGCATTTTCAGCATCATTGCTCCAGTGTCATATGATCAGGTCTGATGAAAATTCAGCTTTGCGTCACTGGAATAAATTATATTTTAAAGTATATTAAAATAGAAACTGTTACTGGTTCTAACTGGGTTTTTTTGCAGTATTTTTGATCAAATAAATTCAGCCTTGATGAGCACAAGAAACTTCGGTAAAAAAATATAAAAAATCTTACTGATCCCAAACTTTTGAACGGTGTATATATACCTGTGTCAAACAATTAATCACGATTAATCGCATCCATAAAAGTTTTTGTTTGCATAATTAATGTGTGTATACTGTATATATTTATTATGTATATATAAATACAAACACATGTATGTATATATTTAAGAAAAATATGTTATGTTTATATATTAAATAGTTGTATATATAATATAAAATATAATATATAAATATATATACATGTAAATATTTTCAAAATATATACTGTATGTGTGTGTATTTATATATACATAATACATATACACAGTATACACACATGTATTATGTAAACAAAAACTTTTATTTTGGATGCGATTAATCGTTTGACAGCAGCAATATATATATATATATTACGAAGGCTACATTCAAATTACTGTCATGTTATGGTTATGTTTTCAAAATTAAATATTTTGAAAAGTGGATATTGCAGTGGACTATGCACTTTCAAAACGAGCAAGGTGTAGGAGTATTTTGGTTTTGGAGAACCTAAAACTGTATTTTGGCTAATGTTGATAACATGAATACTTATGTTTTTTTTGTGTGTGTGTGTGTGTGTGTGTGTGTTGATTCAAATGGATTATTTCAAATGGATTGCATATAAACACAGTAGTCGACTAGTCGGTTACATCATTTCCATTTAAATGTCTATGAGCTAGTCCTAGCACACATTCCTGTTCATGCCACTATACCTTGAGACAGACGTGATTGAACTTATACACTTCAGTGACCCCTTAAATTATGATATACTATGTAATATGTTAATAAACACTTCAGAGAAATCAAATTATGCAAATTTTTCAAATTACATAGCAACTTCTTGAGGCATGTAAAATCTAAACCAATTATATGCCCATTTTATTCGTGAAACATTGCTTGCATAAAGTAAGGTATGGTGTATTAACATGCAGAGTGTTTGAAGTGACTTTCGTAGCATACAGTATTTGTGGCATTTCATGGTTATTTTTTAACTTGCCACTGTTCTGACTGCATTTTAAATTTGAGTTTAGTTCACTGATTAGTTGTTTTCACTGTTCTGACATTTAATTTTCAAGTTTTTAATATATTTATGGTCATGTTTATTTATCATTCCACATTGTGTTGTTAATTTTGCTTGGATTCATTATCTGTCGTGTTTCATCGGGGAAATGTTCATTTCTATGTAATTTGCTATTTGTGTACTTAAAGTGGATGTGTTAATTGATCATTAGTGGCCTTGTATACACTGACGAGGTTATTTTCATGTGAATGGTTTGCTGGATGACATTGTGGATTAATTTAATTGCCCCTATATTTTATAATGGGTCCAAACACATGAACAATGCATGGTTTAGCACAAAAGATTTCATTTTCGTTCATGATAGAGTTTGTGTTTATTATTCGAGTAGGAATAAGAAATGTGTTTTTCTGATGGAGCTTGACAGTTAAATGTCATTGTCACGCTGCATTTCAGGCTGTTGTCTGTGTGCCGAGGCAACGGCTTTGAAGAACTCCAAGACAGAGAGGTTAAGATCGCACAAGAGTGTGCATGAGAGAAACATGCCACCCTCTTCACTGTTTCCATCTCTCTCTGTGACTCTCTTCTGCTCATCTGTCCCCTCTGTATTTGCTGTGGGAAGTATTAGTACTATTAGTCAGACTGTGGATGTGAATAAATGTCATGTCACTGTTTCTGGACAGAGTCACATGTAACAGCTAAAACCTTGTTAACATTTCAAGGTGTGTGTGTGAGTGGAATGACCTCTGCTGCTTACTAAATCGGTCTGTTAAATGGCAAGACAAAAGAAGCCATTAAAGATGATGTTGAGGGAGAATTTTGAGAGACAGTCTAATTATTTTCCGCTACGTAAATACTGGACTGATGCTATTCATTTCCATTGGATGCTGGAGACACTCAGCACTTTACCTGTACTCTTATGGAGCACTTTGTCTTTGTCTCCTGGCTACTGTGATTTTTTTGGTTTTGTTGTTCAGGAAAAATGAAAATATTGTTGCTCTAGCATTTTTATGAACCCTTATTCTGCCTAATTAATTGGCTTGATTAAGCTCTTTGTCCTTGTGTTTGATGGTTGAGTCACATTCTGTCTGATCCATTCTCTCTTTTTCTCTCTCGCTGTCTCACATGCATGCATGTGCATACACAAACACAGTGTTTCCTCAGATGTTGCTATTGTTTTACTGTTGCCATCTTTTAAGAAATTTTCTAACAGTAATCTGTATATAGATATTTGGTTATGTTTAGGTTGCATTGCATTGCAAATAGCGCTGGGCGGCATAATGAGTTTTTACAATATATATTTTTTTATAAACGATATGGAATGAGGCAATACAAATATTGATTCGAGTGACACAGACTGAGCTGCTGCAGGGAAAGTGCATAATCCAATTTGTCCTAAACATGAAATATGCTTTGTATTAAGGGTTTTAAAATTAACACGTATAAAGCGGCTTGCCCCATCAGATGTTCTGACAGATACATGGGCTGCTGACAGATAACATAGGCTATTTGCTCTGTTTAAAGGGTTTGAGATGTGGTGTATTCTTCAGTGCAAAACGTACATTTCACAGGTATAGTCTCCATCTGTAAACGTTAGAAAGTCATGGAATTATTTCCATTGTACTGTCCCGAGTGGATGAGACTTCTGCATGCGAGTCTCTGCTAAACTTCACAGACTTAGCGTTAATTTTGTCAGACCCTTATTCCTCATCTGGGATCGGGTAGAGCCCTTTAAAGCTGCACTGAAAATGCAATTTAGACTTTCAACCGTTGATCCCCATTGAAGTCCAATACAGGTGCATCTCAATAAATTAGAATGTCATAGAAAAGTTCATTT